TTACTATGTAGTTGACCGTGAGACCACAACACTCATATTTGGTATCCTTATACATTATTCATATCTCATCTTGCTTAATCATAATTCGTTACTTGCACATGTACTTGACCTGACCATAATTGGCTCAACATAGGTAAACCAGGAGTCGTATAGTTGCACTTCCTCAAGATAAACCCTCGTGCAAGTCATCCTCCTTAAAACATCATAATATCACCCTGTGAAGTTTATTTCCCCCAGTTGTGAATCCAAATACAACCACAATATCACATCATGTCAAAACACTTGATCGAACAACCATGAAGTCATGTCAACAGTTAAGCCACAAATGGCAACATGTATGCAATCATCAGCCTAAACAAGGTTCATATCGATTAGGGCAAGTCAATAATATCATAGAGTAGTCCAGGGTTCAACATATAGCACAAAAGTTCATACACCCCTAATCATGTCATTCTATTTCACCTAGGTCAATTCTAAGCATCAATATAATTATCGTGATACGACAAACCCGGTATGTCGTGCTAATCCCTCACCAGTTCTGGTCGTTCAAATACCGGTTCTAGCCTCCCGTACCCCAACTTTACTTTCTCAAACAAACCCGGAATCAAAATCCGAGATCGTCATAATATCCCCTGCAGTGTCCCCGTCAATGTTAGTTCTAGGCTCCGGATCAAATTCTCGATCAAAACACATCAAACCCTGGTCGGAGCTAAATTTAGCGAATTGGACCCCGACCTAAATAATTGCCGAAATTCATGGATTAGAACCAGAGGTGTGATTACCTCGCTGTAGAAAGCATGTATATGAAATATGTGCTCAATCCAGCTTCCAGATACTCCGAAACCCTAATTCCTTCGATCGGAAACTCAAGAAATTCATGATCCAAAAACTCATTTTAAAGCTCTAAATCGATAAACTACGATGTATGGATGGATTAGGAATTACTTACGGGGTTTTTGGATCACTAGGGCTCAAAAATTGAGCTTTGGAAAATTTTCCCTCGCGTCCCTGTGCACGCTCTGCTTGCTCTGTTCTCGGTCCAGAAATTGGAAAAGGATGATGATGACGGGAATTAATGGACGGGAAAAGGTTTATATATATATATATATATATGGTGCCTTCTATGGTACCCCGGGTGAAATCCGGGGTACCGTATACCTTGAGTATGAAAACGCTATCTAGACCTCGAATTAGCAGGATTTTTGGGCATGATACTATACCCTAACCCTTAATGAGTGAACCCTAGGTCCTAATTATCTAAATCATAAACTATAAACCCTAAGATGAAGCATTCATCTTTTTTCCTATATTTGGACGAATAATAGCCATCGATTCTTGTTTCTAATTAAATTGATCTTGGGGTATAAGATTTAGAGAACTAAGACCTAGATTTTGATCTTTAAGAGTTAGAGTATGACATCATGTCCAAAAGATCAATCAATTCAAGGTCTAGATAGCGTTTTCATACTCAAGGTATGCGGTACCCCGGATTTCACCCTGGGTACCGTAGAACTCACCATATATATATATATATATATATATATGGCAAAGGGTAGCATACGTCCGGGCGTACGCTAGCCTACCGTACGCCCCATTGAGTTTTGCTATTTAGACAAAGAATTAATTGGAGTTTGGGACATGATACTATACCCTAACCCCTAATGGGTGAATCCCAGTCCCCAATTCACTAACCCAAAGCATGAGATTCGTTTAATCTTAAAAATGAAAATCAACGATCCTGATTCGTCGAAATTTTCATTGATTTTCATTTTAAGATTAAACGAATCTCATGGTTTGGGTTAGAAAATTAGGGACTGGGGTTTACCCATTAGAGGTTAGGGTATAACATCATGCCCCAAACTCCGGTTAATTCATGATCTAAATAGCAAAACTCAATGGGGCGTACGGTAGGCTAGCGTACGCCCGGGCGTACACTAGCCTGAACCGTATATATATATATATATATATATATATATATATATATATATATATATATATATATATATATATGCGGCCAGTCCGCTTATTTTTTATATTAATTATATAATATCCGATCGATCGATAATCCGATTTTCATCGAAATACTATCAAAATACCCGATTTTAAATCGTGAAATTTTCTAGCGATCGAAATACGAGTTTAGCCGAAATGGGATGTTACACCCCCTCCCCCCACCCCCCTCCCAAAAAAAAAAAAGGAAAGTAGAAAAAAAAACGAAAAAGAGGTAATAAAACGGGGTAAATAAAGTAGAGAGTGCCACAAGGAATCAATGCTATAGGAGAGATTTCTTGGCACTCAAAGCCATTGAAACCTCCACGTTGTCTTATAAATCCTTCACTACCAAGGTGAAATGTGATACAAAGAGTAGACTGAGGAAGAGCGCTTAAAGGAAGTTCATGATGGGTGATAGTTTGGAAGGGAGAAGCGAGGCTTTAGGCCGATGCTAGTGGCCATTGTTTCTAAGGAAGGTTCTTAGTCAAAACCATTGAACCTTCAGTTTTAGGGTGAAGATGTAGGACCTCATGATGTGTTTGCCACCACCCAAAAGCTTTTTTACCATGTCCAAGACAATCGCCAGTCATTTGAACCCGTGTCTAAGACCTTTGGACAAGCTAGTGATGACAACCATTCCGTGAACTCTAGCATTTAGAGGTTGCCGCCGTGGTGTTGAGATGATAGGGTTGAGTTTGATGATTGTGCACATTCTTTACACCAAAAGGTCCCGACCCCACTGGTCAAGAGAGTGAGCGATTCATTCTTGTTTTGCATGTCATATCATACCCCGGTGAGGACCTTTGTTACCCATCTGTTTGTTCCTTGGACTTGAACTCTATGCATGGTTAGTTGTGGTTGATTAGTGATCTTGTTGAAACTTGAATTGATTCATGAACAAGGTGAGAACGTTTCATTTGCCCGTTTCTAGTAGCCTCGAATGTCGTTTGTGGTGTATGTCGGTATTGCTAGCAACGGTCCTTGTGTTAATTGCCAATAGCCATTTGAGATTCGCCACTTTGTGCCCTTTGATTTGTCCCAAAAGCATTTTGATAGGTTGAGATATTATCTTGTGTGAAATGGTTTGCTTGGGGACAAGCAAACGTCTAAGTGTGGGGGAGTGATTCAGGCCTAATTGTACACTTTTTTACCCCCGCTTCCACTTGACGTTTATGACATTTGAACTTCTAAAATGGTGGTTTTATGTTAGGTTTTGTGTGTTTCAGGATCTAACAGGTGAAACCAGTCTTGGAGTCGAAAGTTGGAAGAAAAGGAGCAAAGACCGGGCAAAGAGGGTGATTTAGATAATGTTCACGGTTTCCCATTGGAGTTCATGGTCTCCTAAGGTCGTGAACTGGAGCCATAAACCGTGAACCGCAAAGCATCCAGGGAAGTTGTTAGAAACAAAGAAGTTCCACAAGGGAATTAGGATTGAGAAGAGAAGAAATTAGGAATTTGAGAGGGGTTGGGGAAGAACAAGAGATAGAGAGAGTTGGGAATTTAGGGATTTAGGTTGAAATATTGATTATTCACTAATCTGAAAAATAATGTTCTTTCCTCTTAAATACTAATCTGGAATAATTAAAATAACAAAATTGCCACCCCTCACCAAACCGACCCAACCCGTCGGTTTCTAACAGAAGTTTCAGAGGTTACTGACGCCGAGTGAGTTCACGGTTACCAAGACCGTGAACTTTGAGAGCAAACCGTGAACTCAAGTGAGTGAAGCGGTGCGTTTCGACACAGCACTTCGAGTTCACGGACGCGTTGAGGAGTTCACAGCCGTGAACTGAGCCTGATCCCAGTATATAACGTGAGCTGAGAGGAAGAGAGAGGGGAGCCCAATTGTGAGAAAGCATCTTCTTATTCATATTTTAGAGAGAGAAAGGACGAAGCAAAGTAGAAAGGAGGCTAGGGTTTGCTCCAAGTGGTGAATTGGAAAGAATCTCCCCAAGAGAAGATCAACACAAGATCAAAGGAGAGTGGAGGCATCACCATCATGGTTTTTACTTCTTTCTTTTGTGTTCTTCCCATTTCGAATATGGAGTAGTTACCTTTTTCACTTGGGTGTTGTGAAACCCTAACTATATGTTATGTAGTTGTTGTGTGAATTGAATGATTGCTTATGGTTGTTGTTTAATTTAATGATTGAGGTATTTTTCATGATGATTGTGCATGTTTGTGCTTAGCAATCTAATTTGACATTCAACCAAGGTTAGAGGGGAAACCCTCCTTCCCAAAGAGGCTCAATTGAGTTGGGATTCCTTGAGCTTTTCAAGCCATCTACCTAGGTTAATGTAGGCAAACCTCTATCTTGATTTAAACGACTAGGTTAATCGTGATTAAACAGTCCAACCATCGGTTTGAGGGAGAAGGTAAGTCAACCCTCAATTGCCTTAACCAAGAGTAGCACTCTTGTAGCCTATAATGTATCCCTTGGTTTGGCAATTGAGAGTGTGGTCTTCGGCCATAGTTGCACTTCCTAGCGGTTCACGATTGCCTTGTCCATAACGACCCATTCGAGTCCGCGAGCTATGGTAGTAGTTAGGGGGAAGCGACACCCGAGTGATCCTTCTCATTTAGAGCTTTCAAACCATTTACCTTTGCTTTGTTTTAATTTAATCCTTATAGTTTTTAACCAAAAACCAATCCGCTAGATAATGTTTCAAACAATTGAAGTAGGGGTACATGGACCAGCCCGAGTTGATATTTAAACATATTTGCCTAGATATTGCACCCAGCTAAAGTTTATACTTAGGTCTTAGGTGAGATTTTGTTGTGATATTCGGGACGAGTCAGCCGCGAACTTGTCCATCCTTTTATTGCCTATAAATAAGAGACCCCTTTCACCATTTTAGGAGAGCTAATTTTGAGAGGAGAATTTCTGGTTTTGGAGAGCGAAAAGTCGAAGGAATGAGAAGATGAATATAAGAATTTCTGGAGATTCTGACCAATTGCCATTTCGCGAAGTTCTGCTCCAAAAAGTACCTTGGATAGTGCACCCGAAAATGGTGGAATACTTGTTTGGCAATTTGGAGCAGCGGCAGCGGGGAACTATCCGAGGAGCCAATTCTACGGGGAGTTGTTGATTTTGGACAAGGTCATTTGGTTGCTTCATCTGCTCCCTTGATCCGGGCTTGAATCAGTTTGAGGCCAGCAGGGCAGCTCAGTTTAATGCTCATTGCTCAGTATGTGGGAAATGTGGTCAGATTTTCCGGTGTAAGGGTGCCAGCTGGTCAGGTTGTTGGAGTTCTAGTTTACCCAGGGATTAAGCTTGGGAACGGGACTATTGTCAAGGCCAGGGTTTATCTGGTACCCAGAACATAATAAGCTTGGGTCCGAGTGCCATATCTGCAAGTTATGAGGCGCTAATTGTTTGCATTTGATGTTGCTGATTGTAGCGTGGAAGGATATGATCAAGACTACAATTGCCACGTCGTTTTTCGGGTATCCATATCCAAATAGGACCTGGGTCCTGGTTTGTTTTACATGCAAGATTCTGAATGGAACAATCGGATTGAATTTGGTAGAAATGAGAGCACAATACCTAAATGATACAGAGGTAAACAAATGTACTACAACACCTACTCTGCAGCGACAGCGGTGTCATCTCTCGCCTGTAGGATGTGTTATTTCGCTCCCATCAAAAGGAGCTGATATCAATAATTTGAACCTTTAATCTACTGGCAAAGAAGTAGTAACGACTTCTTCCATAATTGCCAAAGACTTACCACCTTGTCATGCTCAATCGTAATATACTTCCCTGATGAATATTTTCTTCACCTGAATCCACATGGAAAGCAAATGGCAGCAAAGCAGTTCAGTGGTTGAAATAGAGAAGATTGTGTGGTTGGTTCATTGCCCTTGTAATCCAACTTACTTGCTCCAGCGTCAAGAACATTATAACATTCCAAGATCCTAGCCGGCCAAAATTGGGAAAGAACCCTTTGTACAAGGCAAAAATCCCCTGCAACAAAATAAATAATACTCCAGTGAGTCATTCAACTGCAGCAAAAGGACTACATCCATATCATAACATTTGAAAGCAAAAATCACTTGGGGATATTCAATATGGAACAATCACCTCATTCTGAATGGTCTTGATGAAACAATCTACAGTACTATTGTACGAAGAGTCTCCCATCATTCTCGATTTCACCTGACACAATTATAGGCGTTACAACATACTTAACAGATCTGAAAGCAACCAAAATTTCAGCTTCACTGTTTGTTTGTTTCAATAAACAACTTCAAGAGATCAGTATTGCCAATTGATATTTTCTCCAATGGGCGTTCCTCCCTAGTTCCTAGACAAGTTTCTATTTTGAGCAGCAGTGCTGGACCATTCCAATACGTGTTCTGCTGCCACAGTAAGCTCTCAGGCATTGATCGTGATGTTAATCATGATAAAGGCACATATGGAGACACCAAAATTATAAAGCCCAAGTGAACTTCTGAGGACCGCATGTTCCATGATGAGACTAAGAAGTGATCCTTCACCTTTAAGTATCAGAAGTAAAATGTTACTGTGAAAATAAAAGTTACTTCTACTTCTCCTTTAGGGGTATTATTCAACCAAAATGGAGTGTAGTCAGTAGAGGTTGGTTGGACTATGTTAGACGTTTTTTTATATAGGCGAATGGATTTTATTGATAAAGAAGAAAAATAAAGAACAAATCGCAGAGAGGAGAAAGGATGGTTCAAAAGATCCGAGCCGAACCAACAAAAAACGGGAGAAAGCAAGCAAAAAACAACAAAGAAAAAGAAAAAAGAGCTTAGAATTTAAGAAACTCATAGTTAGATAGATATGCCTAGAGCCAAAACAAGGCGAATGATACATACCACATCAATGGGTGAACCTATGCTCACAGCAAAGAAACCAGCACCTAGGCCAGCTAGAATATGAGTAAGAACACCGTCCCTGATCCCTGGAATTCGCAAAATTGTCTGCATGAGTATTAAAGAGATCAAGGAATCATTGTTCTAATACGGTATGCCTCCATGTCCATAACCATAAATTCAAACAAGCAGTCCAGGTTACGAAGGTAGAATCCTGAATCACTGACCTGCTTCACTTCATCATAACTGGCAAGCTCAGCAGCATTTATGATGGCATTTCTTGCTATGTTCGGCCCCAGTCCAGTCCACAGGGCAGTTAGTCCCTCCTGTATATAAAAAACCATCTGTGGTAAACTAATACTCTCCTGATCCAAATAATCGATGACAAAAGAAAAATCGCTGTAAAGAAGCTGACCTGCTTCACTATAGTACGATAAGCATCCAATGCTCCATCATACCTCTTAGGTACACCAGGTGGTAGTTTCCCTTCAGCTTGAAGCCTGACTTTCACGAGATCTGTGGGATTGGCTACAATAATAGCTACTGCCCCTGTTATCAAAGCTGCAAGTATTTTCTGGTATAGGGGGATAACTCCACTAGTGCCAGTCAGAAAAAATTTCACCTGAATTCCTCACATATGCGCAAATGAACACGAAAAATCAATGTCTAGCCAACAACATTTAGTAGCACAGCAGCAAGTATCCATATTGAATGAAAATTTGGGTCTTCAGGGACATACGGGTCCATATAATCCAATCCTTAAGCCTCCATAGATAAACTGCCGATGCAGTCCGGCAGTAACCCCTTTCCAGAGTGCTGATAAACCTTCTTCCTGTGCAATCGTAACCATGGTGCCCAACAGACCTGTGTATTTAGGTACACTTGTTCCTCCATCCCCAGCAGGAGCAGTCTGACGCTGCAGCTGGAGCCTCACTTTAGCAGTATCTAATGGAATTGTACAGAACTGAAATAAACAAATAAACGACTGTAGAGATCAAAAGCTGCGACGGTTGTATCTATTAGACGTCAGAATAGTCGGATTGGTAAAATTCACACTTGACAAAAGCTCGACGATAAAGCTCCCAAATTGGCGACCTATTAAGCAGAGCCGCAAAGGAGTGGAATCAAGCAATGACAAAACACAGCAAGTCGCATTACCTCGGCAAAACAAGCAGCAAACGCGCTGCACAAGAAAATCTCGACGAAGGAAATGTCCGATTTGGGGTGGAGATGTGCCATTGCTGCAGCTACTGGTGAGGAGAAAGTGAGAAGGAAAGGAGAGAACCCTAAAACGTGGAAGACAAAGGGAAAGGAAAATGGTGGGTAGGGTTTGAGTGAGATTGAAAGGGAATAAAATGGGTCGGCGTCAAAATGCGGAACAAATGAGTGATTCCGGAGGAAAGTGAAATCGCCGCCGACGGCCTTTCGAATGCGGCCACCGTTGCCAATGCGCTTCCCTTCCTACCGTCCGTCGCTCGTCAGTCACACTCGCAGGCCTGCTCCCTCCCCTCCCGTCCTTGAGTTGACGGGATTTCAGAAAAGCTTTCGATTGTGAATTCGAGAGTCAGCGAATGAGCCTCCGCTAGCTGTTTGTTAAAGTTCGGTGGGATCGAGTATTACTTTTCTGGGTTTAGTTAGTGACTGCGTTTCTATTTTCTTAATTACCATTTTAACTAATTAAGAATTGGTTATGGGAAACGGTTGGGGGCAACGTAGTCAAAATCGCGATGTAAAACTTAAAAACTTACGGTTTTACGCTTCTAGGTCACCAAAACGCTTTCGTTTCTATGTAAAAACTTTAGTGTATAAAATCAGACTAAATTGCGCATTAAAACTTAAAAACTTACGCTTTTACGCTTCTAGTTCACTAAAACGCTTTACGTTTTTACGCTTTTACTTCACTAAATGGGTATTCTTTTCATGAAATATTATAAAAAGAATATTTTAAAAATAAATCACAGACAATATGATACATTTAAGATTAAAAGATACATACCAGATACTTTGATGCATCATGAACTTCAATAAAGTAATCTAATTCACCGTCTAGGCTCTTCTCAAATTTATTAGCATGGAGGGGAAGGAGGCTTCTTGATAAGATTTATGTTTATGAACTTATTATTAAGAGGCTATAAGTTGCTCTACTTTAGACATGAATTGCAAGTATTTATTAATTTCTCTAAATTTGTGCACTCATATTTTTCATAGTATATGTCGTACTTAACATATTTTTAGTTCTTTTACAGTATGCGTCAAAAAATTGCGTTTTTATGCTTTAATTCTACGCTTTACGATTTTACCCCTTTTCCGCTTCTAGGTAGAATCGCGCTTTTGACTGCATTGGTTGGGGGAGCATTGGTTATTCCTGGCAGTAGGGAGGAGTTACGGTGCTAATTGTACAAGAGTTAGCACCGTCCTAACCAAGAGTTAGTAGTGATTTAGCTTAGATGTTGTATTGATTTTATAATAATCCGTAGTGATTTCGTTGTTTTTAGTAGCGTTTTTTGCTAGTTATCACGGTGCTAACCCCTATAAGGGTTAGCACCTAATCCCGGCAGTGCGATGCGATGAAGGTGTTAGTTACGGTGCTAATTGTACAAGAGTTAGCACCGTCCTAACCAAGGGTTAGTAGTGATTTAGCTTAGATGTTGTATTGATTTTATAATAATCCGTAGTGATTTGGTTGTTTTTAGTAGCGTTTTTTGCTAGTTATCACGGTGCTAATCCCATCCCGCTTTCGTTGGCTAAACGCCTTAGCCAGTCAATTACTCAACTCTTGCGGAGACTCATTCGATTTCCAAGATCCGTTGCTGAGCTCAGAGATTTCGGGGGTGCGAAGATAGGGTTCTCTTCTCTTCTCGTGTATGTTTTTGGTACCAACTTGTTCTTGTTTCAATTTGAGAGTGCGGAGCAAAGTGTTTGAGCGTTTGAGAATTGTCTTGGGTCTTGGTATTGTGAAAATAATTCACTATTTCTTAGAAAGTGAGTTCCGGGGATTCAATCTGTTCAGATGAGTCGCAATTAGTTGGCGATTTTTGTTACAATTTGGGAGCTGTCTATGGATTTCATGATAGTGGAACAAGGTTGTTAAACCCCTATCGAACCCCCGGTTGCATCCGGCCCAACCTAATTTGGGCTTTAAAACGGCTAACAGAAAGCTCCCCGGTCTGACCCTTAAAGAGGGAGAAGAGAAGAAGATGAACGAAGGAAGGGAGATGGTGGGTGGGTCATGAAGGTTAGAAGATTTATTTTGTGGAAATGAGTTTTTAATAGAAATAAGTAAGATAAATTTCATTTCACCCCTTAAATTTTTAATTACTATCTTATTTGTATGTATATTTAGAAAACGGCTAAAATGGCTCAAACCGGTCTGACCTCGATCAGACCATTGAACCTCAAACCCCTTGGTTGACCGTCTCAATGACTTAAACCGGTTTGACAACCTTGTAGTGGAAGGTCTCACTAGGGTTGCTAGTTTGCTGGGAATGCCATTAAGGATGGACCAGGAAACTTGGATGGGGGCTCAAATGGGTACTGCTAAATTATGCATTGATATGACTATTGATTCCCCGTTTCCAACTGAGCTACGTATTAGGCCAGAAGGTGAAGCGAGTATGACTATCTTTATGCTTCGGTTAGATGCGAACAGTTTGCAGAATTTGGGCATAAGATAGGATAAGGAATTGAGTGTCATGCTTAGGGGCATCCAGCCAATCAAATGGTTGTGGTTGGAGAGAATCCGTTGGTAAACCAGTGTGTAGTTGACATTGAGAAAGTGGGAGAGAAGGGTTATGTTGAGGGTCAATCTATTTTTGCAGTCAACTCTAATAAATCTCTAGAAGGAGGGTCTTCATCTCATCTTGGAGATTAGTCTAGTTCTGTAGCTGTGGAGACTATAGTTGTCATCAAGAGGTTCTTCATCTCCTCTTGGAGATTAGTCTAGTTTTGATGGATGATGATACACGCATAGTTTGGGATGGAGAATTTCGGGTGAGCCATTTTGGGAATACAAATTTACCATTTTCTTTTGCAAATTTTTCTTTCTCTGTTTCTGGGTAAGTTTCTGTTGACTTCATCTTTATCATTTACAAAATTATACACAAATCCCACCATATCCACTCATATGCAATCAATTTCTTTAAGGGTTTTTTTTCTTTCATACAAGTGGGATTTCCCAATACCCACAAACAAAATCGAAACTGAAAAAAGGGGGAGAAGAAAATGCCTTCGGCTCGCCGGTAAGAAGAAGAAGCTGCCTTTGTCTCACTGCAGAGAGAGATGGTGAAGAAGATGCCTTTGCACCATTCAAAAAAAAAAGATTGAAAGTTGATGTCTTCCTCTCCTTCTCATAGATCCCAAAATGCAACAAATTAAATGGACATACAATGAAATTGATTTCTTCTTTCTATAGGAAAGAGAAGCTTGGTCGCGGGAGAACAACAAACCCAGGACCTCTCTTCCCTCGTCACAAGAGTGAAGAAAGACTGATCGCCGGCGGCTAGCCCGGATTCTTGAAAGGTGAGTCTTGACAAGAAAGAACAGATCATCATACCAAAAAAAAATAAGAACAGATCTGTAGATTATCCGCTATAGAGAAGAAATAGGAGATGAGGGAAAAGGATAGTCGACAGGGAAAGAAGAAGAGAGAGGATGAAAAAATAAAAAGTTGCAATTGGAAGCGGCCCACCAAAAACACGTCAATGTAGATTTCCTACCCACACTCCACGTAATTCTAATCGACCCCTAACTCACCAATTGTAATTCCCCCAGCCCAAATTGCCTCATTCTGATTTTTTCTTGCCAGATGGTGCAATTTGGCACAATTGTCTCATTTTGAGTCAATTGGGCCAAATTGCTCCATCCAAACGACCCCTTAATTATTTATGTTCATGATTATGAGTATAAACTGAAGGTTCTGAGGTTAAGTTTTATTGCGTATGGATAGAGGTCGCCCAATTTGTTTAGGGCATTTCACTTGAAAAGGGTTCATTTGTATTCGTTTTGATGGAATTTTTTAGGTTGTTTTTAATCGATTCCGGAGCCATGAGTATTTCGGTTAGGTAAAAGTATTGGGACGTTTTATTAAGGTATCAGAGTCGGCATTCCTCTGTTCCTTGGTCCCCAAAGAATACTAGAGTGACGGTCTGGGTTTTCAAATGTTTTCTATTTTTAAAGGAAAGGGAAAAGGGTGTCAGGTTAAAGGTTTAACCCATCGATTCAAAGGGCTCTTTGGAGAATTTTTAGAATCTCCAGTATACTCTAATCATGATTAGGAAAATAACTCTATTAGGCCCGCGTGACAATGTTACGTCTCGGGGAGGAGGAAAGAGAAGAATCCTAAGAGGATCATTTAGTGAAAATCCTTTCATGAGTGAGAAGAGGATGTTCAAGGAAAATCATATCCTACGGGGATTCAAGCTAATCAGAATAAGGTTCAGGAAGATGTTAAGTATCAAAGACGTCGAAAGGCAGTAGGTAAGAAAGGTTCATTGAATTCGCAAAGATGGAGTGTAGGGCTCCCCCTAGTCTCATACTAAGAAGCGCAAACAAAGCTCTAGTGTGAAGGACGTGTTCATACACTGCGAGGTGGGTGCAACTAGCTAGGGAAAAACTTCCTTAGTCGATCAATGAAGGAAGATCAACAAATATAAGCTAGGAGAACTAGCTCTCTTAGCCGTTAGGTTAAGGATTGTGATTCATAGCTAGGGAACCTAGCCCTTTTCACCGATCAACCTAGGTAGATCCCTAACTCTCTTAGTTAGCTAATTGAGAATTGTTGCAACAAGTTAGAAAGGTAACTCCCAAACCCTCGGAACTTGATCCGGTCGGCGGAGAGACCAATCTCGGTTGAATCACGACCCTACTCCAATACTTGAGATTTTGTTCTTAAATCGACCTAAAGGAGGTTACCCAAGTGGCTAAGAAGTCTAGATTCCTATTGTACCAGAAGGGCATTTCCACCCTCTAGGTCAATTTTACCCATATTGAGTTAAAGCTAGCACACTCAATCATTCATGAATAATACCTCAAATATCATATAAAACACTCAATCAATACAATAGGTTCATGTTCTTACATCCTAACACATAGAGAGACTAGGATTCACAATACCCAAGTGAGTAGGTAGGCTATTCCATAGCTAGACAAGAGAAAACAGCAAAAGGGGAAGAAAGAACCATGACGTCGCAACTCTGAACTCGCAACTCCGACCGTGAACTCGCAACTCTGACCGTGAACTGCGGCTGGTTCCTGGACGCCTGGGCTTCACTATCACGGGGCAATTGTCAGGGTAACTCGTCCTCGACCCTTTCACACATGCTAGGACCTGAAATGTATCAAACACAAGCACAACCTAGCGTGAAATATGTCGAGGAACGATGATATGCAATGTCAAACTATCAAGAAATGAGGGGAAAATGTGTACAATAGGATCCAAATCAGCGAGTCACATCATAATTTTATCCCTTAAAATCCCAATCCAAGTCGCGGAATTAAAATGACAATGAGTTACTCAAAGCTACACGATGTTATAAGATAGGTGGGGATACATGTGTGGTCAAGGGGAAATATAAGAAG